CCCCCAAAACCCCAAAACCCCAAAACCCCATTTTTGATAAATTTAATTGAAATTTAGCAACTATGAAGGGCATAAGTAAGAACAGTTTCGTACTGAACGAATCAGAGATATCTAAGAAGCTTGATTAAGGAATGAATTTATTAGTATTCTACACCTTCAAATGACTTTAGGCCAAGTTAGCATATTATCTTACTAAGATAGATAATATGTGTAAAGGCTTGAAATTTTCAAGTATTTAAACCAAATAGAGGCTAAATAGCTGCTATGACCCTTTAATGTATCTTAAAAGCTTCGTTTAGAAGAAACTGAATCACCATTCATGAGTAGGAGTAAGGACAAGTATGCACCAAGGATGGTCCTCAAGGAGGAGGTAATTCCTATTTTTCATTCCATGCCTTGTATTATCAATCCAGCCTCAATTTGCTAAGCTTCCTTTCTAGAGTACGGAAAGAGTTAGAGAGCAGAACTGAGTACCTGAAGGCTATAAATGAGTAGTCACAACTGAAGCTTTGGAGCATTTCCGTAAGATCCAGAGAGAACAGGAAATGAGTGCCTCTGTCGGTAAATAACCGAGGTAAGAGCCCTTTGATAGCTCCGCCCATGACTCTGATTCCTTTTAGCCACGAACTCAATGTATGGAGTGAACCAAGATAAAAGTAAGAGTGCCACTGACTCCTATAGGGATGCTGCTTCTACAACAGAAGCGGGAGAAAGAAATGCAGGAAGCTCTTAACTGGAAGCCCATCCTGTATAAGACTGGGGATACTAAAGCAGTCTCTATTGTGAAACAGAAGATGACTAAGAAGAAAAAGCTCAGATTCCCGTAAATTTTGATTCATCTTTAGTCCTAAAAATTTGCCCACAGTGATGCTGGATAACACCTTTGGGAGTATGTACAACCTTGTGTTATAATTCAGAGAACAGGAAGTTTAGCAATGTAGAGGATCCACAACTAGAACGCAATAGATCAGTACCTAAAGTAGGCATTTTGAGGGAAAGGATGAGATTTCCAAATTCGAATCATTTTTAGCAACCAAGAGCCTCATTTTTTCAAAAGTCTACACAAAGAAGCAGTGTTTTTCAGAGTAAGAGGTGCTAGAAATGGGGATATCTGATATCAACATTTTCTTTACTGACTTGTTTTAAAATGCTACGATATTCATGGAGCTTATCCATATAGTCCCTTCAGTAAATTCAAACAGTACAGAGAGACTGAAGAGCGAGAAGAAGTCACTTTTTAAGACAAAAAAGGTGTGTGAAATTAATATAAACTTGCGAAAATTTTATTCCTTCGTTTTAGGATGATTTTATTTTCAACCTTTCCTTCATTAATTTGAAATATAGCCTCCAAAGAAACAAAAAGAGGAGCCACTTCTGTTAAAGATCATTAAAATCGAGGAGAATCCAGCTCTATGTCAACTCAAGAGTAATCGTGACCATAGACCAACGACGGATCACTACCCTACTTTGAAGAGTGAAGTAGTTAAAGAGTCTGTAAGGAAAAGTGGCGGGGCTCTAAATAGTACATGTTTTTCAACATTAAAAACTCCAGCCAAATCTAGTTTGAGTAAGTTTAGCCAAATTATAGAGCCAAAATTGATATAGGTCATACTCAAGACCCGTCCTTTACTAAAGCTAAAGAATATATGAATATGACCTTCCAACATTCACAAAGTAAGTGACTTTGTAGCAGCCGTATACTTCTGAGAGCCTCTCATGATTTATAGCACCAGAGAAGCTCTCTGGACGTATGCTGGATGAAGATAAGAAAGAGTTTAAACACTTAATGTTCCAATAAAAGTATCTTGTCAATCACTTTGCTACTAAACGAGAAGGCCTCCGGCCTTCTAGTGGGGCTAGAAGCACATTGATTCCAAAGAAACTAGGTAAGTTATTGAATTGCTTTCATCAAACCTCTTAATTTTCAATAGAGAAAATTCAAACCAATGCTTCAAGGAACAAGAACCTGAACCTGACCTATTCTGGGCTGAAAGCCCAGACGGGTACAGCTTCAAGTGAGCTAGCTTTCAAGGATTATGGTACTTTTCTTTATTATCTTCAGAAACAATGCAAAGGATCAAGCCATTGAACTACTGGAATACAAAAAGAAACAGTTTGAATAAAATGAATCGGCTGAATACCTACAGTAGTTTGGGTAGGAATCAAAGGCTAAAGTATAAAATGAAGGAATTTTCTAAGGAATCTTTCCAAAAGAGGCATAGCAAGCGTCACGGAAGTCTTGGGAAGTCATCCCCAACTCTTCCTGTGAAGACTGTCATGTCTACACTTTGCTTGAAGAAAGGTATGATTTTAGTGATATTTTAGGCCCCAAGAAAGTTAGCCGAGCTAAAAACTACCTGCATGGTATCCTACAAGCACATCCAAAGGAGCATGAAGAAGCTGCTCAGCTGAAAGTTAACTTTCCAATTCCAGAGATAAATATTGAGCCTCGAAAGGATGACAGCGGGGAGAAGGGTATCCAATTCTGGTTCAAACGAGGTAATTCATTCTTCCTAGACTTTATATTTTGTTTTTGATAAAGGGGATATTTTTAGGCAAAGAAATCAGTGAAAAGGAAGCAATAGAGCCAGCCATGGACGCTTACATTCAGGGTCTGATGGTAGATGGCTCTCATTGGCAAAGTTACCATAACCTGGGCTGCTGTGCCAAGGACTTAGGAAAGAACCTGACTTCTATGAGATACTTTGAAGCTGCCCATAAGATCAACCCTTCAGGAGTATTCACCATTTACGCACTAGTCATCATGGAGCTTAGATTGGGGAATCTGAATATGTCAATGAAATATATCCAGAAGTTAAAAATATAATTCATGAGAAAAGTGATGAATTTCATTTCCACTCCAAAATGAGTCGCAAAACTCCGGATGTTTGAGATATTATCAGAAAGTCTCAGCAAGGTAAAACAAACTCACTGGATGAAGAACAGTGGACTAATTTGATCTATTTTGAAGCACTCTGTAGGAAGATCAACGGTGATCTGACTCAAGCTAACGACTTGTACCATAAATTTGCAGAAAAAGTTAAAATTAAAGAAAAAGCTTTAGTCGTTAAATATACCATTGGGTTACTGCTCATTCCTACACTTGAGGAGAGATCTGAGGTATCTACTTTTGTTGAGAACCTAAATGATATACTGGATTTGTATAATATCAGTAACGAGAGCTCTAAAATTAATCACTTTATGTCACTGGTAAGATCATTCGTATATTTATCTAACAAATTTAGATCCCGAGACTCTAAACAAGCCATCTCCGAATTCTCTCAAGAAGCGAGATAAAAGTAAGAAGCAGAGCTCTATGGTCAAGCAGAGGGCAATAAATTTTGAGGACTCTAAATGTAGGGAATTACTTCCAAAGATCTTAAGGAGTCAGCCCCTTTCCATCCTGAACTCAATGGAACTGAGGGTTTTCACCAACGATGTGGTTTTTACTGAGAATAAAAAGGTCTACATCATTATTTATGGAGATGTTATCCTCAAAAAATTTGAATACAGCACCTTTCCTAATAAAATAATGGCCTTGCTTAAACGAGGAGATGTCATTGGGTCGAAATACGAGCCACAAACTACAACTTTTGATAGCTGGGCGATAGCCCGAGCTCCAACACTAGTAGCTGTATTCTCAAGAGAGAGATTCTCTCAAGTATGGGATAGCTATCAGACCAAAGTGAGGCTGGTGCTCCAACCTCATCTGAAGTGCAATGAGTTGCTAAAGCACTGCTCTGAGCTGACTCTGTTTCATATTTACAATTGAATGCAAGTCGTTAACTTCCCGAAGGGAAGTTTAGTATTGCCCCAATCCAAATAAATCTAAATTTAACACAACCTTCAAGGTGTTTTATGACGAATTTAAGCGGTGAGCATTCCAATCATCTCTATAGGAAAAGAATAGGAATGAAGAAATGGGAGAACCAAGGGCTACAATCTCAAGCCTGTGCTTCTCCATTGTTCTGGACATTGTAAGTTAGCTAGCTTTTGGCCATCAAGGTTTCATGCATTCATGATATAGACCTGCTCAACCGAAGGAATTTGAGAGTAATACCCCTGTTAAAAGATTTATTGGTCATAAAGGTGTAGTTATATGTAGAGCCTTATAGATACCACAGAGGAGAAATTTGAGCAGCATATTTTTGATCAAGAGCCAGAAGGGATTTATATCATCCAGGAAGGAACATGAAAGATTCTCAGTGCTCATCCATCCAGCTGTGAAGATGGGATCAAGCCTTTTAGCCTCAAAACTTTGATCAAAGGGGACTTCTTTGGAGAGTCAGAGATTTTCAAAATTCCTGATTTGTCCTATTACGGGCATATTTATGTGTCTCAAGGCAAGCTTTGTATTGCTAATTTGTAGAATCTGACTGAAAGATTATATTCATTAGTTATAATGACTTTCCAAAATGTGACTATATGAATAGAATGGATACCTGAGCCTTTGAAAGTTTGATTTACCCAGCTAAAAGCCAGAATACCTCATCTAAACTAAAGGTACTAACACAAGAATGTTTTCGAGAAAAAGGAAGACCAGAGAGGAAATTTACGGAGCCCCAAGTAACCCAAGGTTCATGCTCTTTCAAGTCTTCCAGACAGCATAACACATTTAGTAGAATCCCTCTGTATGAACTGGAGGAGATAAGGAACAGATTCATTGGGAAGAATTCAGAATATCTCAGTCGGAACAACGTACTTGAGTATTGATTGAGACTGATTATTAAGAAGTAGTAATATTCAATTTCACAAAAATATGCAGGGGTTTTGGGGTTTTGGGGTTTTGGGGG